TACTAAGTTTAACGTATGGTTATTCTAAGTTTCTTTTTTATAACTTTACTAATTAAACAACTACAATTACTATACTACTTCATGCTTTCCTAATTAAAAAGCTAAGTACATAAATATGCTAATTATGTTTTCCATTATTAAGTTTTTTTGCTTTTTATACTTACATTATTTGTTTTATTAAGTTTAAAGTATGGTTATTCTAAGTTTGTTTATATATATATATAACTTTCCTAATTAAAAAGCCACAATTAGTATACTACTTTATGCTTTCTTAATTAAAAAGCTAAGTATATAGATATGCTAGTTATACTTTCTATTATTAAGTTTTATACTTTTTATGCTTACATTATTTGCCTTATTAAGTTTAAAGCATGGTTATTCTAATTTTTTTTTGTAACTTTCCTAATTAGAAAGCTACTTTTAGTATACTGGTTAATTTATAATTTTAATTATGGTTATGTTAATTTCTTTTTTGTAACTTTCCTAATTAAAATTTTAAAATTAGTAATACCACTTAACCTAATATATAAATGGAGGGAGAAAGAATTAGCTAACCAGAGTTGCGATTGCTAAAGAAATTTGTCGAGGCACAACAAATTTTAAATAAATATATTTAGCGAAGAAAAATATTAATTAAATAAATTAACAAAACTAAACAAGCCAATTATAAAACTAATTAACAAACTAACCCAATTAACAAATTAATAGACTTGCAAAATTAAGAAATAATATATATAATCAAAGAAAAATATAAAAAAAATAATATTAAAATAAAAGAATATATTTTTTCTTTTTTTATCCCTCTCCTAAAATAAAATATTTTATATGAAAATCAAAAAATAAAATCAAAAATTTTAAAATAACTTTGAAAAGGAAAAAATTTAAAAATTTTCAAATGCCTTATTATCATATATATTTATTTAAATAAAATAATTTTAAAAAGTTAAAACTTACACATTTTGAAAAGCTTAATTATCTACACGTATTTATTTTAAAAATTAATTTTAATAAAATATATGCAATCAAATCAACAAAAAATTTAAATATTAATTTTATAAAAATTAAATTAAATATTAATTTTATAAAAATTAAATTCATAAAAAATAAAAAAATTAATTTTATAAAAATTAAATTATAAAAAATAAAAAATTTAAAATAAATACTTGTAAAAATAAATTAAAAAATTAAAAATTTTTAAAGGCTCAATTATGTGTAGATGTATATTTAAAAATAAATTTATAAAAAAAACCAATTAAATTGTAAAAAAATAAAAAATTTCAAAGTCCGTCATAATCAAAATATTTTAAATTACTCTCTTCTAATGAAAAGATTTAAAAATACAATTAAATATCATATTTTTAGATAAAATTTTTCTAATGTTATGACTAAAATTATTTTCAAATATTTTAAATTTTAATAAAAAATTTTTTCAAAAATTCTATTATTCATGGAGACACTAATTTCTACATTTATATATTATAATCATTATATATACACGTACTAAAAATATTCCAAAGTTACTATTCATGGAGACACTAATTTCTACCATTGCTTTTCCTGTTTTGTCCTGCCTTTTAATATGAAAAAGACTATAATATTCTAATCCAACTCATCGATACCCACCTGGAATCTGCATGCCGAAATCGCTCTTAGGCACGTGTAAGCCTTTGGGCTAATCACGTACTAATAGCTTATTCAATTTTTTTTATCTTAAGGACCAAACAATCATCTTATTGACAACCAGCACACATCACACAACACACGTGTTATCTTTTTTTTTTTTTTTTAATAATTTTGACAATACTCCCCTCCCCAATTCTCCAAAAAGAAGTTACTGTTCTAAGAAAAATATTTTGACAATTTTGATCAAAAAATATTTCCTTTACTCTTATTATCTTTTTTATTTTTGCACTTCCTAAAATAAAATTAATAGATTGACAACTTATTTCCTTTTTTCTGACTTTATTTTTTAAAATTAATCTTTCTATCTAATTTTTTTTAAGGAAAAATCTTTTGTATCTAATTTAAAATATTGCAAATGTAAATATTAGTAAATGATAACACAAATTCTAAAATATTTCAAAAATAAAAATTCAAACATATATAAATAAACAAATAAGTATAATTTGAATTTCTATTACAAATTGGATTATCAATTTAAATCAAAACTTTTTTTCCGTATTTAAGTATAAATAACTGTATTATTTATACATACTAAGAAAAATACAATCCAAACGTTGAGGATTGAGTTTGCCGAGCATGATATTTTGTCTTGCGAGGTTGGGTCGACAAATAGAGGTCATGCACTAAGAGTGGGCGAGAAAGCCGCCCGTAGATTATTGATTAAATACTATTATTATTATTTTCTAAAATTAAAATTACAAATAAATTTTAAATTAAATTTCAATAGTCAAAGTTCTGAAAAAATACGTAAATCTCCAAAATTGGGGTGGTAAAATGAGACATTATAGTGACATCATAAGAATAAATTAGTAAAATAACATTTTAAATAATGTTTTTGTATTATTTAAATGAAATTTGTTTATGTATGAATTTTTAAGTAACATGAAATAGACCATATAATTGTATTTTCAACAATATGTAATATATTTTTCCAAATTAAATAAATTAGATGAATTATTTGAAAATTTCGATAGGATAATATTTGATAAAATTAAGAAATGAGTGAATATGTAGCATATTATTTTATTTTTTATATTTAACAATTAAAATTTTTTAGGGTAAATAAAAATAATATTTAATTTGCTCTTTGAATTTGTTTGCAATATATAGTCAAAACTTGAGGTTTTGAATCAATTTTAGTTGTGCATAAATGAGAATAATTGTGCTTCAAAACTCAATTTTGGTTAAAACAATTTAATCAAAACATCCAAAAGTTTTAAGTAGGCATGTCCATCGATTTGGTTTGAGTCGAAATTGAACCGAAATCAAATTGGTGTCCAGCATATGCTTGTAAACTCCTGATCTGGATTGTGTTCGAAAATAGTTTTTTAAGTAGTTTTTAGCTTTGTAATCGATCAAACCGCTAAATGTTATTTTTTATAGTTTTCAAAACGTTTGAACTAGCTTTTAAAAACTACATTAGCGATTCATAAAAAATTAACTCATATAGCGTTTAGTTTTTTTTAGCTTTTTATGAAATGTTATTAAAACAGCTAAGCTAACAGCTATCAAAATAATTAATTTTATTAAACAGATCCATGATCTACTGCAGACTTAAAAATCAATCTCAATATGACTAGTTGTCAAAACAATTTTAGTGTTATTTTTTATAGTGTTCATAGTGTTTGGACTGATTTTTAAAAATTAAGATGACTATTTATAAAAAATTAACCATATAATATTTAGCTTTTTATGAAACGCTATTAAAACAGCTAAGTTAATAGCAATCAAAAGAATTAATTTTTCCGAATAAACTTGTGATCTACCTACCGTGGACTTTAAAATCAGTCTTACAATAAAAATATTAAAACAAAAAAGAAACTTTACAAACTTAGCTATCAAAAGAATTAATTTTTCCGAATAGACTTACGATTTACCTACCGTGGACTTCAAAATTAGTCGTACAATAAAAATATTAAAAAAAAGAAACTTTACAAAAAAAAAAAAAAAAAAATCGCTTCAAAAATTAGTCGTTACAATAAAAATAATTAAAAAAAGAAACTTTCCAAAAAAAAAAAAAAAAAAATCCGACTTCATTTGCCTCCTTAGCTTTTTTAGTCACATGCTTTTCAATCTGGTGTTGTCCTGGATGGAATTCTCTTTCCTGTGATATAAATCAACACTAAAAAAAAAAAAAAAAAAAAATCCGACTTCATGCTCCTTAGCTTTTTAGTCACATGCTTCAAATCTGGTGTGTCCTGGAATTCTCTTTCCTGTGATATAAATCAACATAATTAAAGTGGAGCAATTGACTTTACATGAATTGTCTTGCCGTATCTAAATGTATTGAAGCATGAACAATTAAAAGTCTAAATAAAATTACCACTACATGATATAATAACTTTCAAAATATAAAAAAAAAGAAAATACAAAAATTTATTTAATTAATAATTTTTAGAAATTTTAAAATTATAATTTATTTTATTGTTTGTATTTATTTGAAAAGTTAATAAATTTTTTTATGAGAATGAGTATTTTAAAATTATTAAAAATAAATTTTATTAGTCCATCTGTTCTGTTATTTTTTTCATGATTTGACTTGCGATTAAGAAAATTTAATTAAATTAGAATAATTTTTGCTTCATTTTTTTAATATACTCTTATGTTAGTATCCATAAAAATTAAATGACGCATATTAAACTGTTCTTAAAATTAACCATTCATTTAATTAAATAGAGTTTATTAAAAGATTAATATGTTAATTTAATTTATATCAAAATTTAATTAATAAAATTATAGTAGTTTGATTATTATATTTATGGATAAAAAATCATATTAAATAAAGGTCCAAAATCTTAATTATAGAAAAATTATTTCAGCAGTCGATTTTAAATGGTAAATTGAGCAGAATTGCTAATTTTAATTTTAAAATATCAGAATAATTAAAAAAATATAATAATAAAGAAATAAAATTAATGAGTATTTTTTAAGTGATGGAAATACATTAAATTTTTTTATACACGAAAGATTCAGTAAATCTACGTAACATTACGGGTTAAACAGCAGGAGTCTTTCTCTTAACACGATGGAAAGAATATATCTTATGAGAGTTGGAAAGAATAATCCGCCTATGATGGGCTAAACTGCGTCAGGTCGAGTAAGGTGGCAAATGATACAACTTAAAAATATGATTATTTCCGTTGGCAATAAAATAGTGTATGGAAATAAAAATATATACACTTATCAGACTCTTTCCGTATATATACACACTACAGCTGCGTACTTGATAGGTTCAAAGCACAGATTTGGTTCCGATACTAAGCCTCGTTTGAGCCTCAGGTAGTTTCTCTTTTTATCTCTAAAGCTCTCCGAGAATTTCTTTTCCAGTGTTTTCCGGTCTTGGAATCTTCATTTTCTTTCTCTATTTTTTTATTTATTTGTGTTTTGGTTCTGGTAAAATGAGGGAATCTGATAGGTCGGTTTGGTGTTGAAGTCCTACGCTGTTTTGTCTCTTGGCTGCATTGGTTCTCTTTTGGTGGAACTTGTGGTAGTATAATGTAATCCTGGTGAAATAAAGTCTTTGTATGTTTCTCTCTTTCAAATAATCCGTTTGGTTGCTGAGAAAATGGAGGTTCTTCGCCTGCAGTGCAGCATTAAGGGTTTTGCTGGGGTGTTTGGCCTGAGATTTAGTGTTTACTTCTAGGAAAAACAATTTGAATAGCATTAGATCTGATCTATGTTTTTTGTGCTATTTCTTATATTTTATTGCTTTTGCATGTGGACATGTGGAGCTAATAAGTGTTTGTTTGCTTCATCTTGCTTGAATTTATTTTTCTGTTCAGAATTCATTTCTAGCTTCAGCTGCTGGAAAGTGGATCTGACAGTTAGTGGTATTTAATTTATTAAGTACAGCAAATCCAATTATAGTGAAAATTTTCTCTGGTTTTAGTGACCTTTGTTCATTTATTTTTGATGTAATATTGAAGAATTTCTAAAACAAATGTCCTCTTTTTGACTATTGGCATTGTTCGTTTGCTTCTTGGGTTGTAATTTATTGGTCTCCATACATTAAAGATAATGAAATTTGAACTGATTTGAACCGGTAGCAACTAGCAAGCAATATCTCCGAGATTCTATGTTGTGTTATTTGATCTGCATGGTAGTTGTTTTGCTGCTTCTTGTTGTTCTTTTTTCTTCTTTCAACCCTCTGGTTGTTTTCTAATTGTAGTTTTCTAATAATCGGACTGAAATGAAGGAAAAAATAAAGCAAATAAAGTTCACATCCTTTACCTTCAGTTTGTGCTTTTTAAAAGAAAATAATAAAGCAATTGATTTTTTTTTTCTTTTCTTTGAACTTAAACAACTAAGGCTAACATTTTATTGTTTTCTTCCTCATACTGCGACAGATGATCAAATATTCACTTTCTACTTCTCTACTTTTGTCCATGCATCTTGTCAGAACATCAAGATCAGTGCATCTTTTCATAATTGCACGGCATACATCTTAGCTTATTTTCCATGCTAAAAATTGCCACATTCTGCTTTGTTTATTTATCATTTGATTTATTTATTTGGTCATGCCGTCCTGTTATTTTGCTTGTTGCCTCATTGGAGTTCTTTGTTTCTCCAGTACTAACACTGTATTTTACTTTTATGTTTGGGTTGATGATTTTTGAAATACTTGGATTTTGTCATATAGATGGAATTAAATACCTCTGTTTGTCAGTTTCATGAATCTATACTCTCTATTGTTTAGTATGGATTATAAATTTAAAGGTATTTGTGGTTTTAAGAAAAACTTTGAGAATAATGGATGAGGGATTTTAATGAAGGATTCGAAAGGGATGTTAGGTGATGAGAGATTTTCTAAAATCCATAGAGTTTATCTTCTTTCATACCAACCAAAAGATGGGCTAAATCAATTATCTGAATTCCCCCTTTCAAAAGGGTTTTTGGAGATGGCTTTTTGCTGCTTACATTTCTTTTTTCCTGTTGCTAAATATTTCAAATTCTTTATTTTCAGACTGGTGGATGGGAGAAATATATAATTTTTGTAAAACTATATTTATTTTATGATACTTACCATTTAGCTTTTTATTAGTTACCTGTGGTATGGGTTTTATCTGCTCCACACAGTGCTTTAACTCTCTGTGAAAGAAGTGTTTAGTACCTTTTGCTTGTTCATGGTCATCCAGAGGAGTAGATATTGTTTAAATTTATGCAATTTTATCCTCAATCCCTGTGCACCTGTTTTTTCTTCTAATGCTTGTGGTCGTCTGAGTTAAATATTATCTAGAAACTACTCTACTCATAAACTGTGTAGCAAATCTAGAAACATGTTTCATTCCTTTTATTGGTTTGTTGAAGGGGAAATTTGTGTATTTTGTTCGCATGTGGGTTGCGTTTGGTGCTTGAATGTACCCTTAAATACTAACTAATAGTTTCTGTTCCTGGGATGTTTTGCCCTAACTTTTCTAGCTGTTTGATTTAGTCTGGGTTTTTGGGCTTTTGTAGTTGTCCTTGTATGGAAGGGAATTCATTGTTTTAATTAAGCATGCACGTTGCACGTCTTGTATTTTCAACATGTGTATACCATTATGCTCTTTGGCAGGGTTTCATTCTTATTTCAGGCAATTGCGTTGTCGTATATTAACATATTTGTATTTGTTAGAATTTATACAATCTTGTTGTATCTTTATATTATCTTGAGAAAATTCATTCTTCAAATTTTACAATTTAGTGTGCTGTTCTGTTAAGCTGATGAGTCCCCTTTTTTTGTGAATCATTAAAGCTCTGAAGTCTCATTACTGAACTTTAAGCATTCTTTTTTTTTTTTTTTCCAGTAGAGAGGATCCACTACTAAAGCACAATGTCAGATCTCGAGGCTCCCTTGCGCCCAAAAAGGAAAAAGGTGTTAGTGGACTATTTGGTTCAGTTCCGATGGATTCTGGTTATTTTTGTTGTCCTGCCAATCTCCTTTACAATTTACTTCCTAACTTATCTTGGAGATGTTAAATCTTCAATGAAATCCTACAAGCAACGCCAGAAGGAGCACGAAGAAAATGTTCAGAAAGTTGTGAAACGCCTCAAGCAGAGGAACCCAGCAAAGGATGGTCTCGTATGTACAGCCCGTAAACCCTGGATTGCTGTTGGAATGCGGAATGTTGACTATAAGCGGGCTCGGCATTTTGAAGTTGATCTATCAGCCTTCCGTCATATTCTTGAAATTGATAAAGAGAGAATGATTGCAAGAGTTGAGCCACTTGTGAACATGGGGCAAATTACTAGGGAAACTGTCCCAATGAATCTTGCCCTTGCAGTGGTTGCGGAGCTCGATGACCTTACTGTTGGTGGGCTCATCAATGGATATGGCATTGAAGGAAGCTCTCATCTATATGGCTTGTTCTCTGATACTGTTGTAGCTTATGAAATTGTTCTAGCAGATGGTCGAGTTGTTAGAGCTACAAAGGACAATGAATACTCTGATCTTTTCTATGCAATCCCTTGGTCTCAAGGAACACTGGGCTTTCTTGTTTCTGCTGAGATTAAGCTGATACCCATTAAAGAATATATGAAGCTTACTTACAAACCAGTAGTGGGTAACCTAAAAGATCTTGCACAGGCTTATATCGACTCTTTTGCTCCCAGAGATCTTGACCAGGATAACCCAGAAAAGGTTCCAGACTTTGTGGAGGGCATGATTTATACTCCTACGGAAGGTGTGATGATGACAGGAAGATATGCCTCGAAAGAAGAAGCCAAGAAGAAGGGCAATGTAATTAATAGTGTTGGTTGGTGGTTTAAACCTTGGTTCTACCAGCATGCTCAGACAGCCTTAAAGAAAGGAGAGTTTATTGAGTACATCCCAACCAGGGAATATTACCACAGGCATACGAGGTGCTTGTACTGGGAGGGAAAGCTTATACTTCCATTCGGAGATCAATGGTGGTTTAGGTTTCTCTTCGGCTGGTTGATGCCTCCCAAGGTTTCCCTGCTCAAGGCTACCCAAGGTGAAGCAATCAGAAACTACTACCATGATAATCATGTCATTCAGGATATGCTTGTTCCTCTTTACAAGGTTGGGGATGCTCTAGAGTGGGTCCACCGTGAGATGGAGGTAACTATTCTATGTTATGCTGGTTTGATTTTGGTATCTTGTTTCTCTTCAGACTTACCAATCCATAATCTTGTGTTTTAACAACAAATTTCTTCTCATATAAAATTGGACTAAATGAGAATTGAATGTTCATTGCCTCTCAGCCTAACATAGTTGAGCATAAAGGTACTAATAGCTGTTTTACCATTATAATTTTTAAGTGTTAGGTTTTAACCTTTAGGCCTAGGTGCAATGGATTTCTATGATGTTTTTTGTTCTTGCAATATTTGGAAGCTATTTCACAATATCACTATACTTGTATGAGATTAAGGTAAATAGATATTAACATAGTTGTTATTTCTAGATATACCCCATTTGGCTCTGTCCACACAGATTGTTCAAGTTGCCCATCAGAACTATGGTTTACCCTGAGCTGGGATTTGAGCATCAGCTAAGACAGGGAGATACGCCCTATGCTCAAATGTACACTGATATCGGAGTATATTATACACCAGCAGCTGTATTTAGAGGCGAGGTGTTTGATGGTGCTGAGGCAGTTCGTAGATTGGAGAACTGGTTGATTGAGAACCATGGCTTCCAGCCACAGTATGCAGTTTCTGAGCTAAGTGAGAAGAATTTCTGGAGAATGTTCGATGCTGGGCTCTATGAGCAGTGCAGGAGGAGATATGGAGCAGTTGGAACTTTCATGAGTGTCTACTACAAGTCCAAGAAGGGAAGGAAGACCGAGAAGGAGGTTCGAGAAGCTGAACAAGCCCACCTTGAGACTGCTTATGCAGATACTAATTAACCAATGGACGGATGATAAAGTCGACTGGGAATGATTTGGTGGGATTCCTCACTTTGCCTTTTCTTGCCTTTTCTGACTCTGCTGCTGAGTTTCTTTATCTGTATTTTGGTAGCTTAATGCTTTTTAGATGCTACTTTATTTGCTGTTTTGGTTTTTTGATGGATTAGATGAAACTTTGTATGATTTATGGTACTCCAAATTTCTATTCTTCCTTTCAGAGACAAGTTACGGTCCCCACTCTCACTTGCAAGCTTGCATATTATACAAATTTCAGGCATTGGCCCCACCCTGCTTTTTCTTTTGGGGTTGTGTAAAGCGAGAGGCAAGTACGCTATCTCGTTAACCCAAAGGGTCAAAGGTGCCTATGGTTGTGGTTGTAGGTTATTCTACAACCACTTGATCTCAAAACTCGATTTATGGGAGTGATCTTGGTCACTTGCCACTAAATTTTTCAATCACTTATTAATTTTAACTCGTAGCATATTAATAATATGCTAAAATTTTTTAATAAAATTTAAATTTTTTTAGTCATTATGAGAAATTATACTTCAAAGTCACTTTCATTTAGGGGTGTCAAAATGAGTTATGATCATTATTCATTTAACAGGTGAAATAAACCCTTGAAATAAACGGGTTAGGGTTGAGGTTAAACGGGTTCGTGTCATAAATAGATTATCCATTTATAACACGAATATAAACGTGTCGTGTCACAGGTTGACACACGGGTTAGACGAATGACTTATTTATTTTAGGGTAAATAGATAATTTTAAGTCAAATATAAATACCTAACTAAAATTTTATTTAAAATTTATTGTTGTATTAGTTTTTGTTATTTTAGTTATGAATCTTGGAGAATTTATACATTATATATAAAAAAAGTTATTTTTTTAAAATATTATTTGAGTTAAATAGGTTAAAATTTTAAAATATCATAAATAGGTTAAGTGATATACTGGTCAATACGACCCACTTAATCTGTTTATGATATTAGGCTGGTTACACGGGTGGTATACGGGTCAACATGACCTACTTAATCTATTTATGATATTAAATATGTTACACGTGTTGTACTTGTATCACCTGCCCAATTTTCGTGTCGTGTTCGTATTGAGAAATTTGACATGATTATTAAATGGATCGTATTCGTATTGATCTTAATCGTGTCGCGTGTTAGACGAATTCGTGTCGAACTCGAACTCCAAACGCCAACCCGTTTTGACACCCTACTTTCATTGTTATATACAATTAATTTATTTGATTTTTTTATTTATTTTCTTATGTTACATATATAAAAATATCAATAAAAAAATTAAATGTTTCATAATAAGAATTGGGTTTTAACTCATAAACCCTTCAAGGGATTATGAATTTCTTCCCAAATAAAATATTTTAAAATTAAATATTTACAGTGGGTCAAATAATTTAGAGGAAAACTTTATAATATATATAAATATTTGGCTTGAAACTAAAATGAATTGTATTGTTCATTAATTTTTGTTTGAGAATTGTTACCAAAACCTTCCCGAATAAAAGGACGTCGTCGGACTCGAACTATACTTCTAAGTCCAAATTTGCATTTGACTCGAACTGGTTTCACAATTCAAATATAAAGCGCATCATGACGGCGTAAAATTCAATTAAAATGCTATTTAAATACGTTTGAATCGATTTCAGATCATAACTGTATAAATTTCGATTATAACTTTAAATTAAAAATTACATTCCAAATCCGATCTTAATAAGAAGCCTTTCCCAAGTCTTAATATCATTAATCCAAATACACAATTAATGCTTTGTTATTTTATTCAATTTTCGTACTTATTGATTTAAAGATCAAATTGTTGGTTAATATTAATTCGACCCGACCCGACCCGTTTGATATGATTCCAATTGCACAAAGCATTGGAGAGAGAATCATTTTTCCATTTTGGTTTGACAAAATTATTAGGAACAACAATGAAAGCATGTGAAGAAGAGAAATGCTGCCCTACAACTTTAGCATTATATTTTTATTATTTTATATACTAAAACGAAAGCCATATTCACTGTTATAGAACTGTAACGCAATTTAACCAACTTTTTCTTTTGTCATTCCTATTCTATCCTTTGGGCCCTGAAATTACGGCTTATTTCAAGCCGTAATTCCTAAATTATATCGTATATTTTTTAATTGTCTATATATTTCAATTCGTCACTTGAAAAATACTTGAATTACTATTTGTATAACATAAAAGTTTCTTTCCCAGTTGGTCGGTGAACAGCTGTAATTTTGCTGACATGTGCAAGTTTTCTTTGTATATTTCTTTTTTATAAATAGTTTACTACTTATTTTTTAGAGTTGTGCTAATGTTACCTGATCTATTTTTATTTTTATAGCTTTAAGAAATCTGAAAAAGCAAAAGATGAACTAGAGCAAGGAGAGAAGATGAACTCATATTAGCGTTTTACTTTTTCTCGCAAGTGAGAAAGAGAGGGAGGGGGTATGGGAGAGAAGAGAGAGAGAAAAAAATTAAAGTGGAGAGGGAAAAAATTATTAAAAAAACAAGATGGATGATAAAATAAATTATTAAAAAAATATGATATAGAATTTTTAAAATAATTATTTGCTGATTAAGTAATTTCACGTTAGCTTTTTATTGGTAATTGATCGGAAAAATGATAAAAAAAACTTTTGTATTAATCTAATAGAAGTTCATGTATTTTTAAGTGACGAATTGAAGATAAAAAGATTTTTGTATTAATTCAATAGAAGTTCATGTGTTTTTAGGTGATGAATTTAAGTATTAGGATAATTAAGAAAAGCTTAATTATAAAATTGGTGTCTTTAACTTTTTAAAATTTTTTATTTTGGTATCGCAACGGAAAAATGTTTACAATGAAGTGTCGCGAACAATTAAAATTCTTCAATTAAATGTAGTCTGCTTACATGGTAGGATGAAAGTACAAATAGAAGATATAATATTGTGCCACAGTGGAAAAATTGATGACATGTATAAAATTGTTGACATGTCATCGATGGTGTGTCAATCTTACTGATAACCAAATTCTCTAGTTTCACAACCGCCTGCCTCTTTGCAATTTGCCCCACAAGTCCATCTCCATTCTTCGTATAAGCCACCACCGACGATGTAGTCCTCTGACCCTCCATCTTACCTCCTTCCATAGCAGCAACAATAGATTAATAGTCCCAAGATCAATTCCCAATACCTTCTCATTCACTACCCTGAAGGGCCCAATGTACCTTGTCCTCTTAATGTTACTCTATTTAAGAAATGCCGCCATTTTTACTGTAGGTTTTGACCAAAGAAAACAGAGTTCGGTTGAAATGAGAAATTGAAACTGAGTTTTCTTGAGGAAGATGAAGAAAACCCACACTCGCCTAGAACTTGAATTTGAGCTGTTGAGGAAGCCATAATTGGGGTTTTTGAAGGAATTAGATTGAAAAAATTGACGATGAGAAACATGAATTAAAACGCTAACAAATGGAGAGAAAGAAAATTGGAATTAAACTGTAACATCTTACTGAATCGAGTCGTTGCATTTAGCGAATCGAGTTGAGTCGGAACGAACCAGAATCCGGTTCGAGCCACTAGATTCCAGAGTGGGATAGAATGAGATTTTAATTAAATAAATAAAAGAATTGGACTTAATTGAATGAAACATAAATATGTAGACTCAATTGAAATAAAAATATACAGATTAGGACCTAATTGAAATAAAGTATAAATTTTAGGTATTAAATGGTAAAATATTTAAAATTTAGGTACTATTTGGTAATTTTTTAACATACTAGAAGATATATTTGGAGGTTACCCGAAAATTCCATTCACTTTACCTTCGTACTGCATTTTAGCGAATCGAGTTGAGTCGGACAGAACCAGAATCCGGGTTCGAGCCACTAGCAATTCCAGAGATGGGAATTAAGAAATTTTTTTTTTTTTTTGAAAAAGATTGGAGGAAATTTTTTTTTTTCTCTTCTTAATTAAATATATAAAACGAGATTGGGACTTAATTGAAATCGCAAACATAAATATGTAGACTCCAATTGAAATAAAAATTATACAGGAGTTATGGATCCCTAATTGAAATAAAAGTATTAAATTTTTAGGTATTAAATGGTAAAATAATTAAAATTTACGGTAACTACTTTGGTAATTTTTTTAAACATTACTCCAGAAAGATATTATTTTGGACGAGCGTTACCGAACATTCCATATCACCTTTACCTTCTCTCGGGTTCTTCTCCTTTGTCTTCTTCCTTCACTTTACCTTTTCTCAATCGTTCTCCCAATCTTCCTCCATTTCATTCTGAGTCCTTAATTAGTCAACCTTTCAAGCATTAACTTTCAACCTAGTAACTCTATCCAAGTAAGGGTCTGAATTTCTTTGAATTTCATAATTTCTAGTTGAGTTTTTGGGCATTGATTACATAAGATGTTATTATGTATAGGAGAGTGAGCTCAAAGTGAGAAGAAAAAGGAAAGCAAAGAAGAAGTTTTAAAGCTTTTTTGGTTGAAGCGTTTTGAATATCTCTTTTAGCTTTTTACAAATTTTCTCTGCATGAGAATATGTGTCCAGTGTATGATTGATAGTTGATAAGATATGGTTGCCCTGAAATGTTGGCGAGTAACTAGGTCTGAGAATGTTGGATTAAGAATTGAGATGCATTTGAATAAATGAATTGGATATTGCATTTCATGCTGAAACAGGCTTTGTTGGAAAACTGACTAGTAACTTCAACCTAATTTGACTCCTATTTAGCCGATGGAATTTAGGATAGTTGCTATAAAAAGAGTCTATTTGTTCCTTTATATTTTAGTGTTCTATGAGCTTTGGAAATCAACTAAAATTTAACTTATAAATTTGAAAATATTATGCACCAATAATATTTTACCATAATGTGCAGGCTGAAAATTCAAAAATCTGGTGCGGACTGGAAGGCTGCTACTTTAGCTCAATATTTGACTGACCTTTCACCTAACAATATTTCAGATAGGTCAAGTAAGAAATTATTTTGTACCCTAATGTGTTATTCTAACCACCATGGAATTAGACACTCATCTAATTGGCCTTATCATAATTGATGATGAATAATGCACACTTTTAAAATGGGTACAAACATGTTGCAGGCTGGGAACCGAACAGCTCTCTTCTGAGCAGACTGTGAAGTTGCTCTACTTTGAATTCACATATTTGGACTTATTTTGCCAACATATTTTTCAG